GCCTTAGCCGCAGTTCTGGCCATGCCCTCTGTTTTTCCCCACCCACTGGGACTTGGTCACAGAGCCCCAGTGGGTAGGGCAAAATGTGTCCGAGGGCATGGCTAGAACAGTGGCTGAGGCCATTCCTCAACACTGGACTCCTGGGGTTGGTTGAGCAGCATCCATCACTTTACTTCAATTTGCAGAGGGTGTTCGAAATTGTCATCTGTGTGTTCCTAGCCTTAAGATGGCCAGACATGGGTCATTTATGTTTAATCAGCCAGAGGGCTGATCCAGAGAAAAAAAAAACAACGTATTCCCACATCCACACAAGCAAGGTGGACAGAGGAATCCTCCCGGCTGAGCTGCTGTATTCTGACAGCGGGACTCTTATTCTGTCATAATACGCTCATAAGCACTGCAGCTGATTGGCAGCATGCGCTGATTGAATGGAAATTTACCAAGAGACCCATTTGAGAGGAGTCGATCATTGGATTGGCTTTTCTCTAATGGGAACAGCCCTAGATCAATTGAAATTCATTTTGTCCATGCTGAACTGGCCGAATTTCAATCCACTTATGACCAGCTTTAGGGTGAAGGTTTAGCCTAAATATTTAACTCAGTATATAGGAAATAATGTAACCCTCCCACTACTGTTATTGGTAAGTCTAAAAGATATTGTATCGATTGTAACGTGTGTTCAGCTTTTACTCTCTTTATGCAATTTGGTAACTGTAAGGTAACACAAAGACATATTTCAGAAATGTATGAAATCACATCATGTCCACAGTGTTGGCAATCTATATGGTCTATGGTTAGCTTTAGATTCATCGTGTATTTACAATTTCCCATGGTGTGAAGAAAGTTATTATTATTATTATTATACAGTATTTATAAAGCGCCAATAGTTCGCTCAGCGCTGTACATTACAAAGGGAGACAGAACATGTGACAGAACAATACCAATACAATGCAAAACATGAGGGGATCAAGGGCCCTGCTCTTTCGAGCTTACAATCTAGGATATCTCTAACAATTACACAATGTGCCACAACACAGTCCAAATGTTGCAGACAGGTCCAAATCCAGTTCATGTTGTACATGTGTAATATTATATGGATGGGTTTCTTTTAGCTCCACATTCTGGACTTGTTTTTCCTACCTTACGAATTTCTGCCTTAGGTCTTAATACAGGAATGGCTACATACACAAAGATCGACATTTGGACAGTCCCCGCTGAACTGGCAGAATTTTAATCCTTCTATGGCCAGCTTTATTTAACTAAGTATCACTAAAGAAACCTAAAGCAAGGCAATACATATTAATGGATATTAGATTGTCCAGGCAGTGAGAGCTTCGTGCAGTCTTGTGAATGTGTACAGGAAAACATCTTACCAGCTAGTATCTGAACAGATAGCCTTTCCTTGGAGCTACATGCATAGATTATTGAATTTTACTGTAATCTCCAAGTCACTTTACAGAGAAAATGATCATTCTACTTTGCTTCCAGCACTTAAAGTGATTTGCATATATTGATTCCCAGCAAAATGCAGAACCCATTACTTAACTACACTCAGGATGACTTAGAGGGGGAGCTACATATCTTATTAATAAAAATTGTTGTTACTCTACCCTTATGATCTCCAAACCATTGTCTGAGAAAAAAAATGGTTGGATTGGTGAAATGTTTTAGGCTAAATTCACATTTTAACAAATGCTTTACCACTTTGGCAGCTGTCCATTCCTGGCTGTGGTAGGGGGCATTGTGGTGCATGATTCAGCACATCACACAACTCCCTTTTTTTGTTTTCTACAAACTTTATTTGAAGTGTACAAAACATACAATTCTTCATTTATGGCACTATACAGCACCGTAATGCACTGTGTTGCCATATAGTTCAATGCGATTCTGTACTGTGTGCAGCGTTAAAATGCAGCATGTCTGCATTTTATCATAGCACAGCCCTAAGCTGCATTGATTTTTTTGGTTTCTATTTTGGGCCAGTTTTCCTTTGCTATTAAAAAAAAATCAGGAGCTATCCATTACCATTTATCACCAAATGAAAGCCCAATTTCTCCTGAAAAAAATCAAGGTATAATCCACCTGGATGTACAAAGTAGTTGTGATGATATGTACGGTTTTACTAACACATGTCAACGTTGCAGAATTGTGCTTAGGCATTTAGATTTGTTTTACCCTTAGGCATGAAGGGGTTAATTAGTGTCAGTGACTGGACAGGTCAGAAACCCACACTGCCTTTGAAAGAAAAAAACAAAAAAAAACCACATCATAGCCTGGCTTCTTCTTCCTTATTGTCTTCTGGCCCACCAAGGCGGTCTGATCTTGCACATGCCACAGCTGGTCTGCTCCTGCTGTTGTCCAATGTGATGAGATGCGTTGGAAGGAGTTGGGCACTGTAATTCTGACACACATGTGGAATGGGTCTGCATACACTAGGTTTGTGCTATGAGAGTTTTTGCAGTGCTGCAGCCCTTGAGAGACATTTATTGCAGGCTGTTTATCCTGAGCGCTGGGTTAAGTACTTGCTTTGTGAGGATAGTTCATTTTTTAACATACTGTTTTAATAAAGCTATGTTGTTGCACTATGCGCCTCTTTCACTGTGCTTTACTTGGTATATCCATGAGGGAATAATAAAGCAAGGAAGCCATCCATCTATTTACCTACAACAGTACACAGCCCCTTTGACCATATTATAATGAAAGGTCAAACATATTTGATGAGTGATCTTGAGCCACTGCACATGAACTTTTAAAGGTGTGAAGCACCAGCACTTTATAAGAGTCAATTACTTCTGCTTCAAAATGCCTGGTCACACTGGTGCAATTTGTGAATTGAATTTTCATCTAATGAATGTGAACGTTAGTGTCTTAACATGTGCGATTTGCTGTAGCGCGATTTCTAAAGTAGTTCTTGCACTACTTTTTCTACAGTTTTGTTGCGATTTCACATACATAGAATATAATGGAAATCACACTGCAAATTGCAAGATGTAATAAAGTCTTCAGAAATTGCACACAAATCGTGCGATTTTAAATCACAGCGGTGTGACTGGGGACAAACGGACACTCATTTTGAGTCCTGTGAATTTTAAGCACCAGCGCTTCATCTCAGAGAGGTTTATGCACACTTGATTTTGCACTATTTTGTGATTTTAACACTATGATATACATTGATCTGCCATAACTTTATGACCACTGGCAGATTACATGAATAACATCGATAAACACGTTACGATCATCAGAACTGGACCACAGAGCAATGGAAGGTGGCCTGGTCTGATGAATCACATTTTGTTTCTACTTCATGTGGGTGACCTAAGCATGTGCTTTGCTTACCTGAGGAACCAGGATGCACTATGGGAAAAGGCGAGCCAGTGTGATACTTTAAGCAAAGTTCTGCTGGGAAAGCTTAGGTCCTGCCATTGTTCATCTGGATGTTACTTGTCATGTACCACCTACATAAACATTATTGTTGGCTAAGTACACCCCCTTCATGGAAATGGTATTCCCTGATGGCAGTGGCATCTTTCAGCAGGGTAACAGACCTTGCTCCAATGCCAAAATGGTTTGCTTGGGGAACACACCGATTTTGGGAGAATTTGGAGGCCAAGTCAACACTTCAAACTCAATCGAATCAAGTATATGTGGGATGTGTTGGAAAAACAAGTCCAATCCATAGAGGCCCAACCTTGAAAGTTACGGGAGGTAAAGGATATGCTCAACCAGCTTTGTGCCAGATACTACAGCATACCATCAGAGGTTGAGTGGTGTACATGCCTCAAAACATCAGGGGTGAGTGGGTAGCTAAAAAGGATCTACTCAATATTAGGTGGGTGATCATAAAGTCATGGCTTATTATTTTTTTTATTTGATATGTATTTTATGTACATGCATTCTTTGAATCTTGCTGTAAGCTCTGTATTTTCTGAGTATTAAATATTTCAGTCCAATTAGGATATTTATAGAGCTGCTAGTTTGGGGGAGGGGATTGTAGACCAGGATTGTTAAAGTATAAGTTCACCTTTAGGAGCATGTTACACCTAAATCAAAGGTGGAACAGACACCATGCTTCTCTGCATCCACCACCAGAATTCCCTTCTCTGAGACAGCAGGCAGGGGAATCTTTTCCCCGCACCCACTATCACATTTTGAAAAATCTGTGAAAGAATAAACCAGTCCTATCTGCCACCACAGTATTAAGAACTGCCAAAAATATAATGAATGTACATTTATTTTCCTGCAAATTTATGTGATTTTTTTTTTTCTTTTCCACAAAGGTGAACTTAGCTTTTAAATGCAGTCACTCTTCAGCTGACAATTTTCCACTCCGCTCTGTTGTTCAGATTGAAACTTATTGACCAGGGTGGTACCCACTAAGACCAACTCAAAATTCAATTTTGGGAGAAAATTAATTTAAGTAGGAAACAAATAAAATTCAATCTGTGTATGGCCTACTTAACCACTTCCTGTCCGGACACTTTCACCCCCTTCCTGTCCAGGGCAATTTTCAGCTTTCAGTGCTATCACACTTTGAATGACAATTGCGCGGTCATGCAATACTGTACCCATATTAATTTTTTACCATTTTTCTTGAGAGAGATAAAGCTTTATTTTGGTGGTATTTATTCACCGCTGGGATTTTTATTTTTTTTGCCATGTAAATGAAAAAGTCCAAAAATTTTGAAAAAGTCTCTTATAAAATTTTGCAAATAAATAATCTTTCATCATAAATCTTGACCAAAATGTATTCCGTTATATTTTTAGTAAAAAAAAAAATAAGCCAAATTAGTTTATAACCAAAAATTATAATTTTTAAATTATTATTTATGTTTTTTTTTTTTTTTTTTACATACTGTCACCCTAGCAGTATAGTGTCACTATAGTGACATTGTACTACTTGTGGGAGGCGATGAATTTTTTTTTTGTACAGCGATTGCTTTTACACCCATATGTAAAAGCAATCATTTCACTTTGTCTGCATTCTTGCAGCCATTGAGAAATACTGAGTGAGCTGTGATTGGTCACACCTTGTCACATGGTACAAGGCTGTTGTGAATAGCCTTGTACCATGTGACCTCTGTGATCATTCACAGATTTCACACGTAGTAAGCAATGATGTCACAAGTGACATACTTGCTTACTACTTTGCATGTGATCACTGATTGGCCAATCAGTGATCACATGATCGGGACCTCGTACAGAGGACACAGTGGGCACCGCAGTGCTGCGCGCTCCCAGGGAGCGCACACAGCGAGAAAAGGCGGGTGCCGTTTATGAGTGGCAACCCACCCCTGAAGTGCCACCGCCCTGCCATTTATAAATAGCAGGCGGACAGCAAGTGGTTAAACTGGGAAATGAGGGTACGGTGGGAGGAAAATGCTGTCTCTTCCGAGACTCATCTTTTCATTTAAAAATTGCTTTAGGACTTTGGGGTAATTATTATTATACAGGATTTATATAGTACCAATAGCACTTTACAATATAAAGGCAGACAGTACAGTTACAATACAAGAGTTAAGAGGGCCCTGGGGGGAGGGCCCTGCTCATAAGAGCTTACAATCTAACAGGGTGGGGGATTGTCCTATAGCAGAAGGAATTTGAGACCAGATGCTTTGCTGAAGTATTGTAGTATTGAAGGGCAAGTATCGATCTTCATGTTTCTGTGTTAACACGATTTCTAACCAAAGCCCAAAAACATGCAGAGAACTTCCAATATACTTCCCTGCAGTCACTCATCCACGTACTACTCTTCAAGCCTTCAGCAAACTCACTTCTGTAAAAATCAAATATTTCAAACTTCGATTCTTCAGTCCAGAGCACCTACTGCTATTTTTCAGCACACCTACTCGTGTTCTCATATATTGGCAAGAAGCATGGCCTTGTAAGAGCACTTCTGACCAGACTGCAGCTGGGTGTACCAGGGTCCCACAGGTTTTGCCAGATCTGAGCAGACACTGCCCAAGTGTGAGGGGGAAGTCATATTAGGTCTTAACTGCAGCACAAAGTTTCCTTGGCTGACCACTGCATTTTCGTTCCTCGGTGTGCATCTACCGAAGAACTTAGATGGCAATTTGAAAACACCTGAAATTTCTGCTTGGGAGACAATGTTGACGCAGTGAGGCAACCCTGTGTTGTGCTGATGTGCTAGGCCTTGCCCTTGGGTAATACCTAATACACACGGTGAGAAATTAAGATGAAAAATACAGCTTTCAGAATGATTGTCCAATAATCTGATGGTTAGTACACAGCTTCTGAGAGATGCTCACGGGAGTACATGTAAAATAACCAAGAGGGACTAGCACAGACATTTTTTGGTACGATAACAATTTTCATGTAATTGGTACAGTATTCATCTGTAAAAAAAATCAAGTGACCAAGACTGCACATGCTCACAAACGAGCAATACATCGCATCAGCACAGAACCTTGTATTCTTAGATAAATTCTTAACTTTAGTAAGATATTCAGTGTCAATGTCAGACTATCATGCAAAAATACAAAACCACAATCATTTATCCAATATGCTCATCTTGTGTATAAGGCTTAAGATTTCTCTTTACCTTGAACTAGCTTCAGCAATCTCAAATTGCATGTACAGTATAACATTCCTCACCCAGTTTAATTCCTCCTACACAGCCAATTTTATTTGGTATGCTTGCAGGTAGTTTAATCTACGTTATCTTGTTGATCATTAGCAATAGGTTGGTGTAATCCTTTACTCACATACTGGACCATATGTCTGCAAGATCATTAACTGTGTGCAGGTATACCTGGGTGAAATAATGTCATTTTAAGGGCAAAGGGTGGACAAAAAAAAAAAAAATAAATCATGAAGGCTAGGTTTACATTTATGTGGGTGAAGAGAGCCCTGCTCTTCTGAGAGAAAAGATGGACAGCCTGCAGGAGGGGAGGACAGACACCCCCTCTGGAAGCCTTGCCAAACAGGCCGAGTTACAAATGGGAACATACTCCCCTAATGGCAGCATAGCCCTGTGTAAAGCCAATCCTGCAAAGCCCCTGCTTTGCCACCAGGAAGGCCAGTATAAAACAACAAACAGGGAATGTTACTGACTAGAGAAAACAAAAGAACTGAGGCACAAACAGCTCATACTCACCTGCTCTCTGCAGTGGTTTTGCACAGAGCAGCCCAGAACCTCCTCTTCTTGGTCCCCCGCCGGCACTCCTGGCCCCTCCCTCTGGTCAGGTGCACCTACAGTAAGCAGTTTGCTATGGAGGCACCCGCTACCATTCATACATGGAGCGGTGGCTTGGCCCCACCCCCTCTCTTCTCATTGGCTCACTGGCTGTGATTGACATCAGCAGGAGCCAATGGCTTCCACTGTTGTCTTAGCCAATGAAGAGAGGGAATCCCAGGATTGCCGAGACTCCACATCACTAAATCGAGAGGAGGCTTGAGTATTGGTGGGGCTTGGGGGGGGGGGGGGGGGGGGGGGTTGCTGCACTGAGGTTTTTTTACCTTCATGCATTAAACATTGAGTCTTTACAACCACTTTAATTCTTAAAAAGACCCCCACACATTGGAAACGGCAGCACATTTTCCCATAGCACTACGCAGTTTCCATGCAGTTGCAGTCTTAGAAAATGAATGGGGGCTGTGCCTGTGCAAACACAGCCGGAAGGAAACCACAACAGTGTGAAACTAGCCTAAGACTACACAACGATTAAGATGTCCCACACAGACAGTTATTCTGCTACAAACTTTTAGCACACAGTGGTCTAAGGCATCCAACAAAGATTTTTAAGCTACTTTCCCACCCAGGAGACATTAGTAATAAATAGACGCAGGTATATGCTGTGCTTGTGTAAACTCAAACACACAAGTGTATCTCAGAAAGAATAAAAAAAAAAAAAAAACACATTCTAGGATTTACATGCACAAGTTTACGCAAGCACAACGTACAGTATACCCATGTACAAGGCATTCATCAATATGGGCAGCTGTACACTGCAGCTGTCTAAGATGCACAAATACACCCACAAATTACAATGGATGCCTAAAACCGCCTATGTACATGAGGACCAAGGAAAAAAAAAAAAAAGGTTGAAATAAATAGAACAGCAGCTGTTCCATCACAGTACAGTTGCTAAATGGTTACCACTTTAGGCTCACTCGCCCATCAAAGCCATTATGTGCAGAGTGTATGAGCTATATAGTGAGAAATGGTGCACTTTGAATTGATATAGATTCTATATTAATGCAAAGTGCACTTCTCTGTCAAAAATACATGGATTCCATCTAAAGTAGTAGTTTGTGTTATTGTAGCGGGTCGAAACAAGCTCTTCAAAATGAAGACTGGAGTAAAAAGCCTATTTAAGGCATTATGGAATTAGGCAGCATCACATAAAACATATTTGCTGCTTAAATATATATTTGTGCAGTGATCACTAATTGGAAAATGGGACTGATGGCATAAGGCCCTGTTAGTAGCGGCTTCATCTTTCATCAGAGCAACGAATACAGCAAGCCTTACTGTCCAATCCTGGCATTTTAGTGTGGCCAGGTGCCTCAGCCTGCTGTAGCCTTTGACAGGCAGTGCGGCGGCACACACTAAAAAGCTGTGATTGAACACCCAGTGTGCATATGATCTTAAAAGTTTCATTCAACTCCAGTTTGTGAATATTAAACATAGATCTTTATAGGAGTACTGATGGTCACTTTAAATAAGCTACTAGCAGACTTCAGTAAACTTTGGCACTACTTGAAGATTGTTGAAAGCCTACTGGTAGCTTGTTTAAAGTGACAGTCAGCACTTCCACAAAGATATAAAATTTAACATTTCCAAACTGGAAATGAAGAGTTCTTTAAAGGCTTCAAGAAGACTGCTTGACGCTTGTTGTACGCACTCTTCTCATACAAGAAATGACCCATGTGTGTTATTCATCAATTACTTCCCTCTAACCACAACCTGAAAATGCAAAGCAGCAATCTAAAAAGTTTAAAAAGAATTGTCTTTCAGGCCTAGTTGTAAATGTGAATCCTCAGTGCCCAGACCAAAATGTAGTAGTCTCATTATACATGCATAACTTAATAAAAACAAAAAATGTAGCAAATTTCTACAGTAAGGACATAAGACATTTCTCTTTGGTATATTGTTTTAATATTCTCTTAAGCCAACAAAGTATTGGTTATTTTGCCCATATATTTGATTACATTTAAATACTGATTTCTAAACATTGTACTTTTCTCTGTACACAGTGCCATCTGCAGGCTGGAGAAAGACTTCAAGTGATCACAAAGCCTGGCTTGTACATTAATTCCCAATAAACTGAAGACTTCTCCCTTGTCTGGGACAATATGGTCTCAGAACCGAGAGACTGTACATGTTCACACTCCTAGATCACCCTGAAAACACAATTCTACAGGTTGTGGTTGTCACGTGGTTATTTGTCCCACTTTCATGTAATCAGTGTTCAAACTTTTGCTTTGTAATAACCACAAGAAATGGAAAAAATAAAGTTGTGGCATCAGAACACCTGCTCCATGTTATGGAGATGGGGAAGTGTTCTGCTTTTCATTTGCTAGAATGCCAACATTGCCCCTCCATAAATATAGTAGTGAGTGTTGTCACCCTAGCACATGAATTGTGTTACTGGCAGGATCACCAGGTAAAAGCAGGGAAAAATCCTAAAGAAACAAAAAACGAATGCAATTACCACATTTAAAGACTTGTAAGCCACACCATATTACATTTTGTTTTGGAGTTTAGGGAAATGTTCATTTGTAAGCTTAACACTTTCGGGTGTTACTTCTCTCCCAGATCACAGTACTCCCCTGGTCAATGCTTTCCTTTGCTTTTCTCCCCACAAGGATGGTGCTTTTTTTTTTCAGGTACCATCTAGGTCAGCATCTTCTTCCCGGCTCAAACTCTTCCTGGTGCATGATTCACAAATCGCTGACTTAAATCAGGCCCTCACCATGTGACTTTACCTTGTGACCATGGGTGGAAAGAGACTGAGGAAATGCCTCCTCTTGCTCAGAGGAGACTGATGATATCTCCAACTAAATAGCAATTTTCCACTCCTTTACATTTTGGCACAGCTAAAATTAACTAAACCCAGAGCAAAAATGGAATCTATTACAGCTTACCAGACCATAGATGTGGTAGCTGTATTCATGTACAGGCTAAGAACATTTTTATCAGATACATAAATTATGTGCTGATCTTGCAGAAATGCAGTGTCCTTGTCACTTCCTGTCAAATGAACTGAAAGTGCAAGCTATTATTTCTGATATTAGGCTACTTTCATGCTGATCT